GGCTTGCATTAGGAGCTTCTTAATAAATGATAGGTGAAATTACACAGAATATTCAAGTAGAGAAATAAGGTTTCAGTCACTTAAATATATAATTAATGGGCATTTTGCACCATGAGCTGGAGGTTCTTCAGCAACAAGACAGCATATATTGAAGATGGTGTGTATTTAAAGTGATGGAGCAACTGCACATATAGAGTCTGGGAGCTTTCGTTAAGTGATAAGGCCCAACGCAGACAAGTGTAACGTTTGAACCATGTGGACCACAGAAAAAAAAATTAGAAGAGTCTAGGCAGCAAAAGAGGAAGAGAAATCTAAACAAAACCTAACAGATATGCCTTGGACCTATTAGCTAAGGTTTTTTTTTAACAGTTTATCTATAAGAAAGCATTATAAATTAGCATCAGAATCCAATGGTATTGTATCTGAATTTTCTTATATGTAATAACGTTTAGCTGAATTGATAACACAATGTCTATATTCATGGCAGGAGCATTATTTGCCCAATTCTTCACCCCTCCCTGTATACACACCCTGTGACATGTGACTTTGCAGTTTCTCTCACCACAGAAGCAGAATGTATTTCCGGCCCCCTGACTTTGTGTTTGGCCAGGTGACTTGCCTTGGCCAATAGACTAAGGTAGAAGTGAGTGTGCTGGTTTTGAGCCTAGACCTCAAGATGTGGTATTTCTGCATATTCCCCGTGCCTCTGCCATTACCAAGAGAAGAGCATGCTGGGCTAGGTCCTGGTCTCAGGAGGAGGATGAAAGACACATAGAGTGGAACTAAACCATCCGGGAGATCCAGCTTCAGTCAGCAGACACCGGATGCGGGAGCAAGCCAAACTGACATCTGCAGAGCCACCCAGCTGAGCCTAGACCAACTGGCTGACCCTCAGCCAATACACAGGTCCATGAAGATAAATGGCTGCCTCTTTATGCTACCGACTCTTGGGATGATTTATTACACAGCATTTTGCTGGCAGCAGCTAACTGAAGGCAATTTTCAAAATGTTGTTCCCATCTGCTCATATATTGCCACCAGAAAGGTAACCATTCTTTGATGGATTTCATGTATCAGGTTTGCTTTTTGGAAAAATGGCCTTTGATTCATGACCTGTTGTGTTATCCAGAGAAGCAGAGAAAGGTTGTGTGAGGAGTGAATGGCAGTCTAATTTCTATGGTCCAAACAAAAGCAATATTAAGTTGGCAAAATTGATCACCATATTACCCTTTTTGCCTTTGTTTCTTTCCTACTCTTTAGTGTCTATCTCACCCACCCCCCACAGGCACACATGTGAGTACCCTGAGTCTCTACACTACCAGTAAGAACTCTTGGGTCCTTATTCCCCCACACATAGGCACCTATTAGGGCGAGCCCAGGGAATATGAAGGTAAACAAGTCACTGTTATCACTCCTCTCTTCCTTGTGTCCCAAAGGCCAGCTAGTGTCTCAGTCCCTCAGTGATGCACCCCCCCACACACACACGCTTTTCCTTGAAACTTCTCTCTAGGAGAGATTCTGTCTCACTAGGATGTACCCTTTGGATTCTCAGATTTTACGGCTTAACCATTAACAGACAGCAAGTGAAGAACATAGATCTCAAGGCAGAGTTACAAAGCCGCTAGGAACTCTCAAGTCCTATAGGTGGCTCTTGGACTGAGATTCCCAAGTTGTTGTGAAGTGAACGTATTTATCCTCCCTTTCGGGATATCTGTCATCTATTTTTACCACACACAGAGGACTGAGGTTTCTAAAGTTCTGACACTTCTGGCTGCATTTAATCAAACCTTGAGGCTGTTATTCAGGTAATCAGTGTACTCTTTTATCTAGAGTTGAAAATTTGCATCTCTGGAATACCTAGTTTGCTGGATCCTTCCCTGTTCAAGGATATCTGAACACATCTTGTGGGAAGTATTTAGGGCCAAGAGAAGATACAGGCAGAAGCTGTGCGATGTCAGAGAAAGATTGCCTACTGATAGGAGACTGACATCACGTTTCCTCGCGGTGTTTGAAACAGGCTTAAATTGAGATCAGTAACTTAAACTTGACAGCAGAGGTAGAATTTTTTTTTAAGGACTTGATTTTTAAAAGGAGGAATTAAACTAACAGAATTAATCTGTGATGAAAATTTGAAGACATCAAATAGATTCGTGGAGGCAACCCATTTCCATAAATCACAATTGATAGGTCACATTTAGCCAGCCCACAATTTACCTGCTCTGGACCCCATGACTTGATTTTTCCAGCACCCAGGTAGCTCAAACTGAGTTCTTCTGTACTTCAACAGAGGTATAGCTAAGAGAATGCTCACTTTGGTTGTTCATCAAGAAACATTCAGATTGGTGCCACTCAACATTAGTCTGTGCGTTGGCAGCATCAACATCACCAGGGCCCCATCCAGACCAACTGAATCAGGATCTCTGGGGTGAGGCTCAAGTTCTCCAGGTGATTCTTGGCCATATTAAAATTTGAGCACTACTGATTTAGATCACCTTGAGCAAGTCAGCTCTCTGTCCTTGGTGTATCTGGCTACAAAATGCAGAAGTGAACTTGAAATATCTCAGTAGACCCTTGAAGCTCTCTCACCCTGTTATTTTACTCCAAATAATTTCAGTCTCTCCCCTGCTTTGTTTTTTTCGTTTTGATTAATGAGTGTTGCAGAGTATAAAGGAAGATTTTGAGAACCACATCATGTGGTGAGCCATCCCCATTCTCACCCTAAAGAACCCAGAATACAATTAGTTATAAAAGACACATTGAATATTTCATTAAGCAGGTATGAAGTTCTGAAACTCAGGAGGAAAATAAATTCATCCTGTTATATACACAAATAAATATCAAAGATCATTGTGTAAGCAGAACAAAAATACTTGCCTATTACTCCGTCCAGAAGTAATGACCATCACAATAACAAAAAGCATCCCTAGTACCCAGATTGTGGGCTTTAAATACAATTTCTCACTTAAGGAACCAGAGCTGCCTGCTGGAGAAAAGTGAGGGAGAGGAGAGAATTCTAGATTTTAAAAGATGTAATAAACAAATCAACAAAAGCAATATCTAAGCCTTGTTGGGAACCCAACTCAAGAAACCAACTGAAAAAAAAATGTGACGCAATCAGGAAAATTTGAACAGTTACTGGCTATTTGATGATATTAAAGAATTGTTTTGGGCAAGATAATAGTATTATAGTTATATTTTTTTAAAAAAGAATCCTTATCTTTTAGAGATATATCAAAATATTTATGGATAAAGTGATGTTATATCTGGGGTTTTCTTCAAAATGATCCAGTTGTAGGGGTTGGGGGGAGGTGGAATAGATCAAACCAGAGCAGCTCTGAGTCAAATTGCCATAGCTGGGAAATGGATACACGGGGTTCATTGCTCCCTGCTATGCTGTGTATTTCAAATATTCCATAATGACATTTTTAACTAGTAATCTGAAACGAAAAGAATAAGGGCAGAAAACATTTTCTAAAAAGGACAAACAATGGTGAAAGATAGATATACTTTCATTTTCTATTACGAAGAGTGAATATGATTAAATTCAATGCCTCCAAAGGAAACATTGCCCGTGGGGCTCCCTCCAGATCACCAAGTGCTGTTGGTTTCTCTATAGAACCGGCCTTGTTTCACCCTCCGCAGAGAGGGCTTTGTGCATCCATGCTGTGAAACAAATGCTAGAGAATGCTTAGTGCAGGCGTGCTGGGCATCCAGCAGGCGTTCAACGACTGTTCACTTAATAAAAAAGACTCCAAGTGAAAGAAAGAGAGGCCAGCTGACAAACAACAGACACACTTCAGTTCTGCTGCTAAACTACCTTCTCTTGCATTCAATCCCCAAGTCGCCTTGCTCTTAAGTATTTACCATGCCCACTGGGAGTTACTTGTGATTGTCAGATCTTTATCCTTGGCCGGAAACAGCTAGTTCAAGACTGCCCTTTACAGATACTCCTTGTATACGTGCCTTTAATGAATTTTGTTGACAAGGTAAAGTGACCTTGCCATCAATGGTTTTCAAATAAATGAAAATTAAAACAACAAGATCCTTTTCATCTATAAAATTAGTGAAGTAAAATTCTGCGACAATCTTCAATGCTGGCAAAGATGAGGTGACACTGCTCATTAGAGTTGAAATTGAGACCACATTCCTAGAAATCAATTTGGCAATGTATGGCGAGTTCATGACTAGCAATCACACTCTTTAAGGCAGTAATCCCTCTCCTAGGAATTACTAAGAGCAATACCAGCAATATGTACAAAATATACACACTAGATGTAAAGAGATTTTTGCACTTAACTGTTAAGTAAATTATGCTATACCCATATGACCTACTATGCCACTAAAATAATGCTTATGAAGAAATATTAAATAAAATAGAAAATTCCTGTGATAAATAAAGAAGGCAAACTGTTTATAGCAAACTGTTTATACACTATGACCTCTACTATGTAATCTGAATATATGTATTTATTGAAAGTGACTACATCGAATATTTAAGTATTTAAGAGTAGTTGCTTTGGGCAGTGGGATTGTGAATTTTATTTCTTTTGTACTTTTTTAATGTTTTCCCAAGTTTATGCAATAATAAGAATGCTCTTTTCATAATCATGAAAACATTTTTAAACTATTAGTTCTAACATTTCTCCACCGTGCAAAATTGCCCTACATTTCTTAATTGCCTGATGATAATGACTTTGATGACAGAAATAAAACAACAGCCTTAGATACACTCAGAATAGGTGCTGTGGCTTTTGCATCTATGTATAGTTTTCTTTACCTTAGCAAAAAATATAGTTTAGGGCCAGCCCTGGTGGCCTAGTGATTAAGTTCAGTGCGCTCCACTCCGGCAGCCCAGGTTTGCTTCCTGGGTGCGGACCTACACCATCCATCTATCAGGGGCCATGCTGTGATGGCAGCTCATACACAAAATAGAGGAAAATTGGCAACAGATGGTTTAGCTTAGGGTGAATCTTCCTCAGCAAGTAAAAATATATATATAGGTTAATAACACCTCCATCTCAAGGTCCTTTGGATGATGAATGAGACACTATAATATGAAAGGATATTTATAAGCCTTTAAATTCACAGTTTCCTTTGTATGTAAAATATTGAGAAGGTTCGGGTGAGATGCCTGCCAGACCTGAACATGCGTTGTAATCTATGAAGTGTGGTAAAAATGGTAGCCGTTATCATTACTTATTTGAATGCATACTTTAAGCCAGGCATTTGAGCTTTGACAATTTGCTGCTCTGACCCTCTCGCATAATGAAGCCAATGGTTGTGCAAGGAAAGGACCTTGTCTACGTGGGATCATAGCCTGTGCATGGCTCGTTGCTCCCCCTCACCGGTTTCCCGAAGCAACCTGCCTTTCCCAGGAGGGACACTTGCTTTCCTGCAAGCACAGTGTTCCTCTCAGACGTGACATTATTACTCATGTTCCCAGGTCTTACGAGGGCAGTTTTCGTTTTCACTACTCCCTGCAAGCGGCCCCTCCCTTTGTGTCTGTGGAGGAAGAAATGTGTCTTCTTAGTACAAAAACAAATTCAGGAACAACAACAACTCCCTGCCTAATTGGAACACAGACTGCTGTTGGCCCACTTTCTTGCCAAGTAATTTGTCAGGAGACAGTTTGCAAGAAATGCTGACACAATCGGAGACTAGATTCAGAGCTTGGTTCAATGATAAATTAGTTCTGTACCTAGGTTCAAAAGAAAATGTTATTTTTCCTCACCATGCTTCAATATGGCCACTTATAAAATTATATCCTTAAATCTTCCAGCAGGCTGTGATGGTTTAAATGAGCTAACTTTTAGATCCAAAGTGTCTTAGAGGTCACACATTACCTAAGAGGTCATACACACTCCAATGTTCTTTTCAATTTAGGAAACTTCTTTCGTGTCCAGACACTTCCAGTGCCATAGAATTCACACTCTGGTTTTTTGAGGCAGTCTGTAGTATTGTTAAACAAAAATAATTGCTGGAAAGTTCTTTTATTATATTGTACAGAAATCTGCTTCCCTGTAACAACCCTGTCACAGTTATAGTTCTGTTCTTGGGAGCTTTAGAATGTAAATATTCTTCCTTTCTAAATGATATTTCTTCATCAATTGAATATTCCTATCTTCTCTCTTTTCTCTCAACCTCTGTACCCTGCCATGTTTTCTCATTCAGGCAGGTAACTAAGGTTTCCAGCATAGTGCAGGATTATAAGCTTTGGCACTGGAGTCCTGCCTTTATCATTTACTAGCTGAGCCATCTTGGGCAAGTTACTTAATTAATATCTCCATATTTTATCTTTCTCATCTGTATATTGGATGTTTATAATGTGACACATTTTATAAAGTTGTACTAAGTGTTTTACTTGAATGCAGATAATCTACATAAAACACATCATAGGACTTGGTATAGAGATTACACTCCATAAATGTTCACCATTGATGAGGGTGATAAAAATGATATGGTTTCCAGTACCTTCTTCATATGGCCAGACTATTTGGACATTCTAGTTTGCCAATGCCCTTCTTAAATTATAAGGCCAGAACTGGAGACATAAACATGTTATAGTCAGGAAAACTCAGACTACGGTAGGATGCTTACCACTTGATCTGGATATTAGCTATTGAAATTGAGCAAGTTATTTGATCTCTCTAAGCCTATTGTTTCCTCCTCTAGAAAATGGGGATAATAAGATTATCTGCTTTGTAAGGTTGTTGTGAAAATTTTAGTAATGATACTAAACTAAGGTACTAAATATGTGCAAATAGTGGTTCTAAGCACCATATTTAAAAGCACTTAGGATCATCTTGGCAAGCAGGAAACATTCAATATTAGTATGACAGGAGAAGGTCTGGAGGCTCAGGGTGCAGCTGTCTGCCTCTAGAGTGATATTTTCCCCTGGGCACAGAGTCTGAGGTTGCCCCACCCCTGAGAAACCCCAGACAGATCTGACCACATCTCTGCCCAACTCCACTAACAGACCCTTTAACAAGGAGACAAAGGGAGGAAGAGGAGAAGAAGGTCGGGGAAGAATAGGACAGAAAGAGGAAGAGGCTGTGGGAGTGACTGAGAAGTAGGAACACACCAAGCGTGTGGTCACTCTCAGAAAGAGCGAACAGGAGGAGAGCCACCAGCACGAGAAGGGACTTCTCTTATTGTCCTTCGTCCATGTCCAGTCTCTTTGCAAGGGTCTACCATCAATCATTATGATTCATGTGGGGGGCAAAAACCTACAAAATTCACACTGTCACTTGCTTACGAAGAGGCAATGGCATGCGGAACAAAGAACATGAGCTTCGGTATCAGATGCATTTTCCTTTTTTTATAGTTGCATTTTCATGGCACCCATCATTAAATATCTCCATCTGAGTACCAGATTCAGCTGAATCTCTGCTAAGTGTAGCCTTTAATTCATTTGACTGAGATTCTTCTTATAGATTCTTTTTGCCATTTATTTGTGAATTCTTTAGCACTGCCAGAAAACTTAAAGGCATCACAGGGGGGAAAAACTATTCCGACTCCGTCTTGGTACTTACAGAAATCTGGAGGATGGGGAAAATTCTCTCCACTGGGAGAGTTTAACCTCAAGCTTTCTTCCTGAGTCTGGATAAACGCTTGCACAAGTATTCTGAGTTCAGAGTTACTGTTGGGCCTGAGACCCTCTGTGCTCTGAATTTTGGAAATTTGCCTATCCCAAATCAGTGATTCTTAATCTATTGACAGATTTGCACCATTTTCCCCCTTCTTATCCCCTAGAGTCCCCAGCCACAGGGGTTAGTGTTAAGTCCCTGTGACAAACTGAAGAGAAGCCATCACTTTTCCTGTGTCAACAGCATGCAGGCCCAAGGGCTTCAGGAGAGAGCAACAAGCGGTCTGGCAGAGGGTCTCAGGCTTCCTTTGAAGCACCCTATTTGGAGCACAAACAGCTGTAGTCTACAGTGGTGTTTTCCTGAGATTCTGATACTTTCTGATTTCCAGAAAAAGAGCAGCAGCTGCCCCTAATCTTTACTCTCTCAGCGCTTCCAATGGTGTTGCAGCCTCCGAGCCTCTACGTTAAATCTCTCCCTGTTTGGAATGGTTTCAGTTTTTTTCATGATACTCTGTTTGATGCATCAGTGCTGGCTGCACAGTAAAATGGCCTGGGAAGCTTTTAGAAAACACTGACACATGGCTCCCACTTCTGGGAAGCGGCCTAAAGCGTCCATATTTTTTAAATGCTCTCTATGTATTTCCAATGGGCATCCAAGGATGAAAACCACTGTGTCAACCTCAAATTGAATTCCCAACCTCAGGCGTTGGTTTCTTTTCTGTCAGACACTCATCTCACAGTCATTTCAAATCAGGTTTATCAAGTGAGAGAACTTGCTCTATCCTTTCCCTCAATATGTTTTCCCAACACACTGAGGAGAGGCCAGTACAAGCAATTTTCAAACTGGCCCAGGGTTTCTGGGTATCTGGCAGAAGGTACCTGGCAGAAGCAAATGCCAATGCCAATGTGAATATATAAAGAAATAAAAGAATATGTTAAAAGTAAGTGATTAAAAATTGACCAGGCAGTTTGAAAAATAACCTAAATTGTACTTTTGAAAGTGAAAAATATACCAATAGAACCAGCATCTGAAAGGACATATTAGAAAAAGAGAATAAAAATTGGTGAACTGCATAATAGTTATGAAAAAAATGCTCAGAATGTAGCACAGAAAGAAAAATAATAACAGCAGACATACTGTATACCTTTCTTAGCACGCTACATAGAATTTCTCTCATAATCCTCACAACAATCCTATGAAGTAAATACTATTGCTTCCCAATTTAAAATGAGGGAACTGAGGCACAGGGAAGTTAAGTAACTCTCCCAAATTCATACATCTAGTAAGAGATAGAGCCATAATATTCAACCCAGAGAGTCTGACTTCAGTTCTGTTTTTCAGCAACTATGCAATGTTCTTATCAAGAAAGTGAAATCACAAAAGAGAAGTGACATGGAGTTAAATTTGTTCCGGAATAGACAATAAAGAGAGCAAATTAAAGGCAATTTTTTGACAGATAATGCCTGAGCATTTTCCAGAATTGATGAAAAAAATCAATCATCAGACTCAGTAAGGTCAAAAAATTTTGTATAAGATAATAATAACATCTAATTTATTGGAATAAAATAAAGACAATACCAAAATACTAGGTAACAATATTGTATAACTTGGGAGAAGGTTCTCTGTCACTGTGTTCTAAGATCTGGGTAAGATCTAAGACATTGTTTAACTTCAGGGTTCTTAAACTAATATGGACACTCCTATTTCTTTGAAAACACTAAAAGAGTAAAAATAGAATGTATATCTTTCAAACTGGTAAAGGGGAAAAAATGAAATGAAGAAAAAGCAAGTACAATTGATTCAAAAGAAAAAGAAACAAGGAAGGAAGGAGGGAGGAAAGAAGGGAAAAATGAGGCCTGTAAAGAGGTACATAAGTAGAAAGTAAAAATTTAAAAGGTTGAAATAGATGCACGTTTCATTAGTAATTCATTTAAGTGGACCAAACTCTACAGTTAAAAAAGATTACCAGACTTTGTCTAAAAATCCATTAGAAGTCCATTATTTAGACATATCTTAAATAAGAGAACCTAGAATGTTGAAAGAGAAAAATATTAAAAAGCTATACCAGGCAAACACTAACAAAAAAAAAACAGAAAGAAGGAAGAAAGAAATTGATATATCTATATTGTCATTATTACAAAACAGTCCTTAAGTTATGTCAAATAAATGCTGTAATAGAAATAGATACAGTCTATTGTGAGGGAAAAGGGAGCAGCACCCGATTCTTCCAAGAAAGGTTAAGGGAAAAATTGAAAGAAATTGAAGGAAGAAAAGGAAATAAACATTTGACCAATACTTGTTGAGCAGCTGCCTATTCCTGGCCCTACCCTAGGGGATTTGTTTGCATTCTATCCTTGTAATCCTCGTGACAACTCTCTACAATATGAATTATTACCGTCAGGTTAAGTAGGTTGCCTAAGGGCTCATATGTGGCTGAGTAGGAAATTAATCCAATTCTGTCAAACCAGAAAACTCATTATATGAAAA